AATAATGATCACGTTTGTTTACACTCGCAACTGTTAGAAAGAATGTCGATCGAAAAATTTAGCAGCACGCACGCTTTGTGGACGTTTTCTCAGCTCAAAGAGCGTTTTCGTTTCTTGCGCCTCATATATATATACCACCTTAGATTTAGTATGTATTGCATATCACTGACCCTGTACCACCACTGTGTAACGTGTCTTATTCGTAGAATTGGTTTTAGAAGTCGTGAGATTGGTATGATTCAAGATCTTACTCTTGGCTGTAGTTAAAGGTGGTGTATTTTTCACCGCATCGTCTTTTCCGTTTACACACACATTTGTTTTCTTGTCAAATTTGTTGAGTCATTCAATTGAAATAACATTTCTATTAAAAAATATTCTTGGAGGATAGTCCCTTTGGTAAGCAGAAACGCCAAAAGTAAGGTGGACATTTAGGGTCAAGTCACACTGAAAGAGCAGCAGTCGGAGGAGCACTTTTGGTACAAAATATTACTCTAGTATTCTAAAGAAAAAAATTGATTTGAAGTGATAAAATGTATATATACGCCATAGATTTGTTGCGATTAGTTCAAAGAGGCACTGTCTTAGGTCCTTCGGTCGCTGCACGCCTCCGCTTTTTCAGTGTGATTTAACTCTTAATTTAGTCGCAAGAAACACACAGAGAACGGGCGTGAGCGCGTGTGGGGTCGGGAGCACTTGGGGTGTAATTCCCTGTATTTATATGGACGACAATATACCACGACAGGGCGCGGGAACCTACCTGCGCCCGCTCCGCACCCGCGCGTGGTGTGTTATAATCCATATAAATACACAGCAGTAGGCGATTAACACACTGCACCGCGCCCCGCGACGGAGCGCGAGACGCGGAATCACACTCGTGGTGGCGGAGACGCAGATCTGCGTCAACGCGCGGTTTAATCTGCGCGAGGGCAGCGGTCTAGGGGCCCCGCGCTACTTAAAGTACTCGCTTCGTAGTTGATCGCCGTAATGATTGTGCATGTAGCTGAGATCCTTCTTTGACAACCATTCTTGTTATATATTACTAATACAGAACTCGTTCAGGACGTTGCAGTTATACGGTATATTTGGTTTTTATTTACTCAAATAAAAAGACACCGAAGATATTGGATACATCTCTTTTTACGAACCAGATCGATAAATGGATCATTTCAACTTTATTACAAAGATTTAAGAAAATATGAAGATAAATTTAGTCGATTTTCAATAGTAAATATAAATTTATCGACGTCGAGATCCATTGTAGAAAACTGAATACGTCCTTACGCTTAAAAATCTGCGCGGTAGTGCGGAGCGCAGTATGCCATACCCTGAATTACCCTGCGGTGCGCCGCGCCCCTCCACGCGAGAGCATGATAAAATCGCACGCGCCGCAATCATGACGTACGCCAGTGTCGTATTCGCTCAGGCAAATCCCGCGCTTATATACTCCCCATAATAGCCCAATTCATGAAATAGGCATCAAGGAAATACTTCGACTCTGCTCCTCACCACCCCAACCCCCTCGTGGTGCCTGCATCCAACTATGACCACCTCAGGGAACACCCCCACTACGTACTCACGTGACTCTCGGCACTTTGAAGGCCAACCAGATCGCTAATAAGTCCCGCTCCTCACGCACCGACTGTCCTTGCCGGCGAGGTCGCAGAGCCCCTTATTTCAGCACGGATAGTGGTAGATTCTCTCCCATAGCACTACGTAGTTTTAAGTTTAGTTTGTAATTTATCTCGGCCTTTTCTTCCGGTGGCACAGTCATAAAAAAAAGATGGTGCGTGTTTTCCAAACAAATTGAGGTACTTCAGTACAACGTTAAAAAACGCAGCTCGGCGCTCCGTCGCGGGGCGTGGTGCAGTGTAATAATCACCTTACAACCGCCGTGCTTCCGACCGGACACGCGCGCGAACCGCACGCACTGTCAGTGTGTTTCACGCTTTAGTGAACTAATAATTACTGAAGCGCTACAGACGCGCGGCATCCGCGACACAGCCGCGTCGCAGTCGCGGCACTGTCCCGCTTCTATACGCGTTTAATTTGAAGGGGCCCTTAGTAAGGCGACAGGCGATACAAAGTGCAACATGCAACATGAACGGCTCATTGCGCACAGGGCTATTTGCCGCTACATGCCTCAAGCACACCCGATGACCTCGATAACGTTCCACTACTAATAGATATTTGCTATTTCATATGAGATTTAGTGTGTTGTTTTTAGTTTTAAACCCCAGACGGAAAAATTTGTAAGTTCTGCCGCCGTTAGTTCAAAAGTTCAAGCTTGTAACAAAAACTTAGAACTGAAAAAATGAATTTAAAGAAATGAATTTTTCGAAACGCTGGAATAATTTACAAAACTTCCAGAAACAGATTATTAGCCAAAAAAGCAGTTCAGCCATAGAAATCTAAATATTTGAACTTCTGTGACCACAGAATATAACTTGGATAAAGTTTTATAACCATTAAGCTAATCAGATTGTTCTATAATATTTTATTCACAGACGATAGACGCAAGTACAGCAATTTGTATGAAAACCAAGCGTGCCATATTTTTTGTACAAACTGTGACGTCACAAGAACTATTTACTGATGGAAGCCTCCTTCCGCTACCTCCTTGCTCTAAATCGATTGATTGAACGGAATACGCGTAAACATGCGTATTCCATTCAATTAAACTGCTATTTATAACGATCTTGTGGCTGATCCTACCATGAGAACAAAGTCGTAGAGTCAATAGTCGACACTCAAAAAACCCATTATTTGAGTGTCTACCTCAATAAGAGGAGCTTAGCATAAGATCTACAATGGAATGAAAAAAGTCACGTGTCGAGCGTTGAAGACATAATTCTATTTCAGGCCAGGACCAGCCTTAAAGTGTTGCTTATCGACTTAAATAAAAAAATGGTTATTTCGAAAGTAATTTTTGGTTTTTCATATAACATGCAAATTTTTGGATGGGGAAATATATTTAGTCTGGTTCAGTGTTTATTTCTTTGTCTGGTTCAGCCGGGAATGTTGCAACCCGGTATTTTATTTTGATGACCACCCAGTACCGACCGGGTTGCGGCCCACCAATTGGGAAACGCTGCTCTGGTAATTTTGCAGCAGCTTAATATCGACATTCAAACACTTAATAGCATGTATTACATTGTTTCCGTGCATATATTACCTCAAATTATGGTAGCATCTTGTATCCGTAAAATTAATAGCTGATAGAGAGGCCATTAAAATTACAAAACAATTTCAATAGGGAAGTGGTTTCTCCGTACCACGAGTTTGGGATCCAGTATTTCCTCTGACGAAAAATCGCAAGCAGCCATAAGACTGAGTACTAATTAATATGTTTACTGTTGCCTCCGTGGCCGAACCATGCTGGGTTGAAACGCATAGGTTCCGGATTCGATTACCGGTTCGGGAGAAATACAGCTTTAATTTATTACACTCGTGAGTTTGGGTGTAATTTGTGGTTATCGATGTGTGTGTCCATGGCACCCGCGATACAGGGCCTCGTTAGGGCGCGGCTATCAACGTGTGCGTTATTTTGAATAAGTATGTTTTAATTTATTCTAATTTAAATGGTTAATTAATAAAAAAAAATAGGAAATGAAACTATTTTTCCGGATTTAAGACTGCAGTACTAATTAATATGTTTTAGTTTATTCTAATTTCTATTAATAATTAATAATAAATTGAACTTTATAAAAATTCATTCGATAAAATAATTTGTAAAACTTAATATAGCGTAAATTGGAATGTTTTCTTTGTAAAATTAAGAATAAGGCATTTAATTAATAACTATTGTAACTATAGTGAAAAAATAGGGTGGTTTGCATCAATATTAGACATAACTGGTTGAAGACTGTACCACCTCAATCAACCGTGACTATGGGACCTGTAAAGGGCCCAAAACGTCGGTTTGTTTGAAAAAGCAAATATACGCGATTTAAACCCGGAAAAATAGTTTCATTTCCCATTATATTAAGATGTTTTTAATAATTTGATTACCTTCGTGATCGAGAGGCTTCGCATCGGTTTTCATGGTATCGTCATGTCGCGAGTTCGATCCCCGGCCGGATCAGTGTAGAAAACTAAAACTTTTCTATATTGTCTCGGGTCTGGGTGTATCGTAGTTATTTCCAATTTCCATAACACAAGTAGTGATTTAGTTACTTACTTTGGGATCGGAACAATAAATGTGATGTTGTCTAATATTTATTTATTATTTCCAATTGTCACCAACCCTAAAGCGACATGCTATAGATTAAAAATAAAAGATAAAATTACACAACCGAACAACCACAACAACCAACAACCAAAATCAATATGAGACATAACTAGTTGAAGACTGTATCACCTTAGTCAACCGTGATTATGGGACCTGTAAAGGGCCTGAAACGTCGGTCTGTTTGAAAAAACAAATATACGCGATTTAAATACGGAAAAATAGTTTCATTTCCTATGTGTAACAATCGCGAAAAACTAAGAACTCGAAAAAAAATTAATGTAAAAAAATTGATATTGTTAAAATAACGTAAAATAATTTGTAAAACATAAATGTAGCGTAATTAGGAATGTTCTTAGGAACTAAATTTAAAAATAAGGTATTTAATTATTAACCTCAGAAAAAGCGGTGGTTTGTATAACCGCTTATGTTACCAAACAAACCAAACCAAACCACTTATGTCTAACATAAGTGGTTGATAACTTTACTTTTACTCTTACTTTTAGTCAGCCGGGACCTGTACGATCATGGGACCTGTAAAAGACCTGCAGCGTTGGTTCGTTTGAAAAAAGCAAATATACGCGATTTAGTTCCGACAAAAATAGTTTCATTTTCCATGCGTAGCAATCGCGAAAACCTAACAAACTCAATATTAGTACCTTAGTATAAAACTACTTCTAACTATGATTTGTTAAAATTTGTTACAGTCAATCAACAAACCAATCAGTATTTATTTATTTATTTTTCGGAATAAGGTACGGTTCTTATTTTAAATAAAATCCAATTCACATTAATTAGTATGCAAATATATACATACGTTAGTCAATTCAAACTAGTTAAGTGCATAATATATATATATATATAATTTTAAATAATTTTAAAAGTTTAGTATAAAACTATAAATTTTTTTTTAGAATCTGTCATTGATTAAAACGGTAAAGACAGTTATAAATGACGTTTTAGTTATTTCCAAGTTTGCTAAGCTAAGGGTAACACCATACTCGGTGCTGTGGTAGTAGCCGTCGCCGGAACTGCTGGCATATTGGGGGGCGGCATGTTGGCCATCGGCATATTGGGCATTGGCATAATGGGCATTAGCATATTGGGCATCGGCATATTGGACATCGGCATATTAGGCGGCATTGTCGGCACGCTTGCTGCAGACAAACTCATTCCTCCTAAAAAGCCCGCTGGCAGTTGTGCCCCAGGAGGCAAATTCCCTGAGACGAAGTTCAGCAGCAAAATGTAGAGTTGTTGCTGAGGTGTGATGGGAGGGAGCGTGGTCAGTGGCTCGTTGGAGAAGTCTGGCGTGTCTGTCTTGTAAGCGTGGACCGTGACCACGCTGCAGACCAGCACTAGTAGAGCGATATTCTATAATAAAAAACACGAGTATGTTTCATGATCAACAACCCCTTTTGTATACCCCACTGCGGGGCACGGGACTCCTCTGCCGTGTCAAACCAATACACTGTAAAGTCACTCATAGTGTTTTGATTTAACGCTCTATGATTTCTCTAGGTCTAATCTATACGCTGACATTTAAACTTTGGAGGCATCAGTGTTTTTAATGTGATACTAAAAACTAAAATACACTGTAAGTCTTAAAATTTAGAAGTTATTTTCACATAACACAGACTTTTGGTTCAACAATTACGTGCGCGAAATGCAGTACAGCGTTGCGGGGTGCCTGAGTTAACCAAAACTCTCTGATCGCGCAAATGTCTCAGGAGCGGAGGTCTACGAACAATTGTCGCGGCTCAAATTTTAACAGTAAAAAACAATATTCCATAGTGTCAAACCTAAACACTGCGACGTTCAATACAGCGTTTTTTTAATGAGGGTATATAAATTTATTCGTTTGTCCTTATAAATAACTGACTTTCCCAAGTAAATTATAAAGGCTAGATAGATTTCTTTAATATCTAATGTCCTCCTAAGTTAAATATATATTTTTAGGTTATTAATCGAATAATCCTTTAAGCAGCTTTTTCTCAAAATGCGGTTTTTTAATTTATTATTTTTTCATTTTATAATATTAAGTGACGGGACGATCGAGTCGTGCGCCTGATAGTAAGCTACACGCCTGTTCATAACAGTTGCAGTTCCAATCAGAGCTTAAAATCGCAAAGATCTGAGGGGCACTGTCACTGCGCCCGTTACCCTGAGACTGACAAACCTCATGTGCCTGTAATTTCACCAGCACCCTTACCCTTCAAAATCGAAACGCATTCAGTATTGTTTGGCGGCAGAAATGAGCAAGGCGGCAGTACTATCCTGGACGAACTCTTTCACAAAGAGCTCTGCTACTGCTACTAAGAGATATTAGGAGTTTTAGTTTAGTTTTAGTTTGACACGGTAGTGTCTGAGGCGAGGGTTAGGCCATAGTCCGCCACGCTGGCCCAGTGCTAGTTGGGGATTTATACACGTTTTCCGAACGTTGTGAAACTTTCTTCGATGTGCAGAGTTTGATCAGTTACTGGATAAAACCAAAGTTTTTGGCTCGTTTAACGTATTTATTATATTTAATTTTAATTAAAATGTGCTGAGCAAATGGGTTGTGAAAAGAAATTCTATTCTACAGGATATATCATGGAGAGTGTGCGAGATAATTGCACGAATTAATTACGCCTTCCCCTTTCCATCATCGAGGGACCAGACGTAGGCTCGGCTTCTACCCCTATGTTGTGGATATTCCAAGAATTCGCACAAAGCGTTTCGCTTCCACATTTATACGGCAAACGGCTATGAGGCGGAATTCCCTGCCTGCAGACTTGTCCCCTGAACGTTACATGGACCTTTTCAAAGCGATAGTGAATAGGCTTTATTTAGGTGTGTATGCTCTATCGTCGACTTCATCGTCACTTTCCTTCAGGTGTGATGGAAGTCAAATGCGCACTTAGGATTTAATAAAAAAAAAGAAATGACAGAGAGATAGAACCAGGGAATGTAGACAGAATTAGATTTTTTATGATTGGTTCGTTCACTAACATGTTTCATCACGATGTTTCCTCCACTGAAATGCACATGGTTTTCAAATATGTTTATTGAGTTAAAATTGGTGTCAAGTGATGAATAAGAACATTGAAGGCGAAGAAGGAACGACCTAGCAGGCGCTCAGCTTAAAATCTTCTAACGTATTGACATGTTTAATATAAATATGTGTTTTTATTTTATTTGGCACCAAAAGTACGTAAAATAGCATTACAAAAGAAACACACTTATGTACGCTAAAATTAACTAAATTTTATCATTTACATGCATTGTGATTACTATGCTATGTCTGAAAGCAATATGCAAATCAATCACTACAGTTGCTCCTACACGCCAGCCGCAAAGAAGACTAGGATATGGAGTCATAATGATATATAATTGCTAGTTAGTTAAACATAAAAAATATTCAACCACGTACAACATAATCATTCCACGATTACATAGGGAGGTATTAACACCCTTATTACTTCCTTAATGTTTAGGTAAATATATTCTGCCAATTTTGATCTCTGTTTATACTCTATTTATTTTACGATGGACAGGTTGTATATAGTTGACAATAACAAAATAAACGTTATGCCTGCACCAAATATTAGGAATTACAAAAAAATGTGTGAGAATTGTACCTTCCGTATTTTTTGGAGTGTTATTACTTTTTTCGGGAAAAATACTCAGGTTTCTAGACTTTTCAGGGTTCAACTTCGCAGTAGCATTCTTCTTAAAAGTTTATTATTAATATTAAAAAGCGCAGTCAGCCAAGATGGACAGATGAATGGATGGGAAGTGTGAAGAGTTCGAAATGTTTTTTTTTTAAATATCAAATTGATATAGAGTATATATGTTATAATATATATATGTTATAATATATATATAGATAGATACAATAGATGATAGATAGGTTATAACCTATTTACTTTACGATAAACAGGTTGTACAGACAATAATAAAATAAATGCTATGCCTGGGATATATTAGGCATACAAAAATTGTCTGTTTTTTGGAAAAAAACAGGATTTTAACCAGTACCAGGGTAAACTTCGCAATAGCAATCTTCTTAAAAGTTTATTATTAATATCGAGTTCTTTCACGATTCGAGTTTTCACGATTGTTACGCACAGGAAATGAAACGATTGTTAACCGACTTCAAAAAAAGGAGAGGTTCTCAATTCGACTGTATTTTTTTGTATGTATGTTAAGCGATTTCTCCGGCTTTATTTGTGAACCGATATTGATGATTCTTTATTGATAATAAGAATTGGTCCCATTTAAATTTGAAGAAAATATTCCACCTCTAAGGGTCGTATTCCAGAACTCTACTCAACACTCAAGTCAGGACTTGAGTATTGCAGTGAGCACTGAAAATCATACTCAAGTCCTTGCCATTTGGGTGGGATTCCAGTGCTTGAAATCATACTCAACTCTGCTCAAATCCTGACTTGAGCATTGAGTAGAGTTTTAGAATACGACCCTAAGAGTGGCAAACTAAGTGATGAATCCAATTTTGCGGAGTTTCCGGTAACAGATTTCAATAAAACTTGGTAAATAGACGAGGTCGAGGTTTTTTATAAAAAAGTTATTATTTCGAAACTAAATTTGGTATATTTTTAAACAAATCAACATTTCGGGCCCTTTAAAGATCCTGAAACGTTGGGTTGTTTGAAAAATAAAAACGAATATACGCGATTTAAGTAGATCCGAAAAAATAGTTTCATTTCCTAAATTTATTATTAAAAAGTGCAGTCAGCCGAGATCGTGAGACGTGTACAGAATTCGAAAGTGAGTTTGTTTGAAAATATACGCGATTTTAGATCTAAAAGAAATAGATTCATTTCAAATGTGTAACGATCGTAAAAACCTAAAAGAACTCGATACGAAAAAATCGCATTTCAATTAATTGTGAAATGCGAAAAACAGAATAGAAATTCGTTGAAAATTTAATTCTCAAATCAGAAATTAAATACATATATGAATATAATTCCTTAATACTATTATATCTAGATTAGTATTCCTCGTCATAACCAACGTAATCGACAGGTACGTTAATAACACAAAGCAAAAGTAATTTTGGAATTGAGTTTTTCTCCATTCACTGCCTATTATTAGGTACATACAAGTACAATTAAGAAGTAAAAATAAATACTATAAAGAGGATAAGTGCTATGGTATGTACGTCTAAAAACTACGACAATAATATAATTAAAAAAATTGAGTTGTTGGAATTAGCAAAACGAGTTCTACAACTCCCTATAAGCTGTTTTTTTTAGTTTTTTTTAACTAAATAACTGAATAACTAACTAAATAAATTGAAACTTCAGTTATATTGTTAAGCGAAATTAGTGTAATTGACATAAAAAAAAAATTTAGGTGCCAATATCTCAAAAGTTACCAAAATGCAGTTGCGTTAGTTATGACAAGAAGAGCTGTATATAACAATTCATCAGAAAGTAAGTCAATTGTAACAGTTTATAAAATGGCAAAACTTACAGACGTTTCCATCGTGCTGTTTATGAAATCTAACTGAACGATTTTTACATTAATGTCTATAATAAATTCAGTTTATTTAATGGTAAAGGTCACGCTATCGAGGCGAAAGGTTCAAATTGTTGTGAGAGGATATGTCTAATTGAATTTATTGGTTGATTTATTAGTGTGTAATTATATTAACAACATCAATTATTGTATTATGCGTAATTGGTTTTTATTTGACTAAGGTGGAAGTAGAAAAGAATGGAAGATTAGCACATTTAGCTTTTTTTATGATAGCAAGTGATGGGACGAAGAAGTCGTGGATTGTCGGGTGATAAGCGACACACCTGTCCATAACAGCCAGCGACCTGCCATCCTGAGACATAAGTTGACAAGTCTTATCATGTGCCTGCAATATCACCAGCACCCTTACCCTTTAAAACCGGAACGTTGTGTAAGTTATTGCTTACATTACTTCTTGGTGATAGAAATAGGTAAGGTGGTAGCACTGCCCTGGACGAATTCCTTCACAAGGAACTCTACTGCTACTAAAATTAAGCTACGGTATATAATTTTTATGTTTACGGAAGAAAGGATACTGTACGTGTATTTTGACGAATCGTAACGTAAGGTCTATATGTACATTTACAGTTTTAGGTGATGTGTTAATAAAACACATAAAAAATACATTTAATAATTTTATCGACATTTACTGCGCTGAAAATGCGATGTGTAGTGGTTTAAGCCAAAAGAAAAAAAGCATAAAGAAAGGAAAAAACCGGCCAAGCGAGAGTAAAATACGTCCACAGAGGGTTCTGAAACTTATGGGACATGGAACGACTTTCATTTTTTTCATTTCATTACTACAGAAAGATGTTTAATTTTTTTCTCATGAATTATGAATTCTTACGATATTATAAAAAAAAACTATTTTTTTAACAGACTTCGAAAAAAGGAGGAGGTTGTCAATTCGATTTTTTTTTTGTATGTATGTTACGCGATAACTCCGGTATTTGTGAACCGATTTTCACGACTCTTTTTTTGTTGGAAAGAGTAGTGGTCCATAGTGCCAGTAGTAGTAGTAGTAGTAGTAGTCCATAGTGGTCCCATTTAATTTTGAAGAATTCATCCACCTTTAAGAGTGGCTGTTCAAGCATGAAGATTCATTTTTATAAACAGCGCCAAAATTTTATTTTAAGAGCAATTATTTTAATAGTTGATTTTGCTATTTTCCAATTCTAGGTGTTTTTCTCTCTCGATGTACTTTAAGAAGTGAGAACCGATTATTATTATATTTTAGTGGCGAACTAGGGGAAGAATCCGGGCTTGCGCACTACCCGGGGACCGATTTCAATAAAACATGGTAATTACGTGTAATTCCATGTACTTTTGAGGTCGGTTTTTTTAGTACTCTGTACTGAAATTATTTCATATGAAATGTATGTCTACCAGTCTGAATTATTTTAAACTTCTTTGTGATCTTTTGAGATAAGATGTTGGAAGAAACGTATTATTTTGCATTATTATTGTTTAATGGGGTTAATATCAAACCAAGTTGGAAATAGCATAGCTACTTACGTTTATACACTAAGATTTAGATGAAAGGAAAATAACTTTCCAATAATTTATTGTCTGGAGCCAGCCACGATATCTGGGGCGTTTAATCCAAAATGTACGAAATACCTTGCTGGTGTCTAACAGAATATTTCTTGTCAAAATCTCTGAAAATATGCGGTCACTTTTAAGGGTTGTTCACACCACTAAGTTCAAAAACAGTATCAAATTTTCATCTTATTTTTAATTACATGAATTTTAAAGATTTTTTTTAACGCCATTTTGTTACAAGATATGGTTGATAGTAAAACCTGCTTTGCGAAAGTATTTTGGTACAAACCGTATCAGGTATTCTGAATAAGAATATCTGTTCCTTCACTGTTGCCGTTTGGAAATAAACATTTTTATCTGTCACCGTTTTCTCTGATAAAAGAGTTTATCGGAGACGTAGCCAGTAACGTAGGCATTATATTGTTTTTATTTGTTGCTTATTTCTCAACATGTCAATTGTAAATCTAGTCTTCGTGTTCACCACTACGTGATGCATTTGTTGTGAACCTTCTTTGATGGGCAGGTTTCATCACCTCATGGTACATTTCAAATTAAGGCGAGGCGTTTCAACACGAGCCAAGATTTTAGGAGATGAAGCGTGTGTGGTCGCCCCTCGCGTCCCGCAATCCGCGCGCTGTATATTAATATGACTAAAATTAGAATAGGCGGTGAAACAAACGTCGACAAGCGCCCGATGGCGACTGACGGGGAAACTGGCGGTGCGGAAAATTTTGGGATAAATGTGATTTTAACAACTAATAGGTCTTCAGTTGAAAACCAAAATTTAGTAGGCTCTCTGTAGTACTAAAAGAAAAATATTTCCATATAACGATTTTGTACCTAGTTAGATATTTTATTCTTAAATAACTCGTTTTAGACTTTTATTTTTGCCTAATTTCAGGATTTTATATGATCGGATAAATTATATCTGATCGTGTGACACATTAGCACATTATTTGGACAATATCCTCGGGTGTATCGTATATTTTTTGTTATTTAACAGTAAATATCTAAACCATTTGATGACTCGCCTTAAATTTCGAATATAAATTCCAAAAACTCTGAGGTGCGAGCCTAAATTCGAACCCACGACCTCTGGATGAGAGGCGGTATTATGGCTTTGAAAAAAAATTTACTCTTATTATTGATGTAATGACGATTCTACGTGTCACAGGGATTTCTAGAAGAAGTAATTTAATATACAAAGGTTAAAATTTGTAATATCAGGTTAACTAAACGTGTTTTTATAATGTTAACACGAAAATATATTCCATTGATGTTGTGAATCTCTGAATGTATACACACCAGCACATTTAGCAGGTCACTTGTAAAATCTATAAATAATGTGGCGTATTTTAGAAAGTCTGATCGGTTATATTACTTTTACTCTATTCTGAAAATAAAAATTTAGTCGACTGTCATTTTTTCATTCATTTGTTTAAATTTTCTACTAATTTGATTTACTCAGTGTTATTTTGTTACAATTTTGAAACTTTCAACTGTTTCTACATTATCACAAAATCTGAAAAAAATGCATTTTCGTTTTTTAACCGACTTTAAAAAAGAAAGAGGTTCTCAATTCGACTGTATTTTTTGTGTGTATATATGTTACGCGACTATTCCGACGCTTGTGAACCGATTTCAAGGATTCTTTTTTTGTTGGAAAAGACGTATCTCAGTAGTGATCCCATTCAAATTCGAAGAAAATATTCCTACTTCTAAAGTGGCAAATTAGAGGATGAAACCTTTTATTGGATTTTACCCCCTTTCCGTTAACAGATTCCAATAAAACTTGGCAAACAGATGTAATTCCTCAAATTTTTGAGGATTTTAATAAAGATATACCAAGTCGATGTTAATTTAAGTGCTACATTATGTCTAATTCTTATTTATTTAAATATTAATGTTACTGTTTTATATTCTCACTCTTTTTTGTTCCGCTAAATTTGCCTTTGTGTGTATTATTATGCCGACGTTGCTTTCAAAGTTCATCGTTAAAACCTACTACGCCTTTGTGTGATACAAACCGGCCAGACAAATTGCTCCGTTTTGGCGACATAAAACAATAAGGTGTCGGTCCTACGGGTTAGATCATGAATCGGCAACAAAATTTAAAGGTTTGTTAGTCTAAAATGGTTAACATTTAACACTTTAGTCCTATGTAGGGTTTAAGGGTTATAGTGTTGTTGTCATCATCATAATCGTCATTCACAGCTCGACTTTACCCACTGAGTATAGGCCTCCCGTAGTTTATGCCATCTAGGACATGCTACGTTTCTATAACCACTTCTTGGTCACATTCGGTTGTCATTTTACTCAGCTCCATTTCAGCTTAGTTATTCGATCTCCTGTGATTAACCCTACATTAAATTCTAAGGTACGTATTATTTTCTTGGAGTTGTACTTTGAGTTTTCTGAGATTTGTTATATTAGAATGATGGTGCATATAACTGCTAAACAGACATTATGTACATGTGTTTTAAACTGCCTCCGTGGCCAAACTTGAGATTGTAAAAGGAAAATTGGTGCATGAATTTATACAGGGCCGTGGTTTATTATTTGTTTTCACTTCTGGAATTCCGTACTCCCCTAATAAGTATGTCCGGCCGTAGATGGCGGGTGGCGTCTGTTAACGGAACCCTCAGCAGACCATAGGCGGAAGGGTGCAGCTGGTGGCATGTATCGGCACTAGCGCGCGCAGAGAAACAAGTTGGAAAGCTAAGAGGCTTTCACCTAACTGAACGTGGTTTCTTCAACCAGAAGGTAGTTTCTTCAACCGAAACGTAGTTCCTGTAATTCGATAAACCAACAGCTACAATTTGGTCATCTTCCTTGCGTTCTGAGAGCCCACTGACGGCAACGCACAGAAATTAGGACGGTACTGGCGTAGTAGTTTTAGAAAAAGAGTTTACAATTTTAAATATTGCTACAGAAGCTGAAGGCTCAACGGTTCCCAGAAAATAATAAAAATTAAGCATCTCTCAGAAACAGAATTTGAAGACGTCATTACTATTTGAATAGAGACGATGAAAATAACGGAAATTTCTAGAATTGACTAATTTAAATTTAGACAACATTTATGCAGATTGTAATACAGTATATGTACATGAAAGCTGCAAATAAGTAATTAGAATATAAACGTTTCGTCGTAACTTAAAACTTACCCTACTAATTTAATGGCTAGTAAAGAAAGCAAAGGCAAAATTTGAAAAACTGCCGTAATATGGAAATTTATTAACTATGAAAATACTTTATTTTGGTTTTTATAAAAACGTTCATCATTATTTTTAAATATATAAATACATGTAACGTTCCGTTACACCATAAGAATAAGAATAAGAAAAATTTATTGTGTTACGTACCAGTGCGTATGCCAGGCCTTACTAAGCGTTTATTTTTCGAACCTCAAGCCTTAATTATGTTCTCCTCGTTCGTAAACATGTTTTGTTATCCTCCCATGTCCCGCGTTGACGGATTGGACCTCCTCTAAGTCGACATTCATGACATGGGTACGGAATTCAGG